TCTATTTTTAGTTTTTTAAGGAAACTCCATACTTTCCTCCATAGTGGCTGCACCAATTTACATTTCCACCAACAGTGTAGGAGGGTTGCCCTTTGTCCACACCCTCTCCAGCATTTATGGTGTGTGGACGTTTTAATGATGGCCATTCTGGCGGGTGTGAGATGATATCTCATTGTAGTTTTGACCTGCATTTCACTGACAATTAGCAATGCTGAGCATTTTCCCATGTGCCTATTGCCCATTTGTATGTCTTCATTGGAGAATTGCTTGTTTAGGTCTTCTGCCCATTTTTAGATTGAGTTGCTTGTTTTTTTTAATTTTAAGGTGTTTCAGCTGTTTGTATATTTGGGAAATTAGTCACTTGTCTGTTACATCATTGGCAAATATTTTCTCCTATTCTGTAGGTTGTCTTTCTGTTTTGTTGATGGTATCCTTAGCTGTGCAAAAGCTTCTAAGTTTAGTTAGATCCCATTTGTTTATTTTTGCTTTTGTTTCCATTACTCCAGGAGCTGGTTCAAAAAATATATTGCTGTGATTTATGTCCAAGACTGTTCTGCCTATATTTTCCCCTAGTTTTATAGTATCTGATCTTATATTTAAGTCTGTAATCCATTTTGAGTTTAGTTTTGTATATGATGTTAGAGAATGTTTTAATTTCAGTCTTCTACCAGTAGCTGTCCAGTTTTTCCAGCACCACTTACTGAAGAGACTGTCTTTTCTCCATTGTGTATTTTTATCTCCTTTGTCATAGATTAATTGACCATAAGTGCGTGGGTTTATTTCTGGACTTTCTGTCCTGTTCCATTGATCTATGTGTCTGTTTTGTGCCAGTACCATGTTGTTTTGATTACTGTAGCTTTGTAGTACAGTCTGAGGTCAGGTAGCATGATTCCTCTAGCTCTGTTCTTTTTCAAGATTGTTTTGGCTATTCGGGGTCTTTTGTATTTCCAGTACAAATTTTAACATTTTTTGTTCCAGCTCTGTGAAGAATGTTGTTGGTAATTTGATAGAGGTTGCATTGAATCTGTATATTGCTTTGGGTAGTATGGCCATTTTATCAATATTGATTCTTCCAATCCAAGAACACAGTTTATCTTTCCATTTGTTTATGTTGTCTTCAATTTTTGTCATCAGTATCTTATTGAGGACAGGTCTCTTGCCTCCTTGGGTAGGTTTATTCCTAGGTATTTTATTCTTTTAGGTGTGGTGATAGTTGATATTGTTCCCTTAATTTCCCTTTTTGCTATTTCATTGTTAGAGTATAGAAATGCAACTGATTTCTGAATATTAATTTTGTACCCTACAACTTTACCAAATTCATTGACAAGCCCTAGTAGTTTTCTGGTTGCTGCTTTTGTGTTTTCTATGTCACCTGCAAACAGTGATAGTTTCGCTTCTTCGTTTCCACTTTGGGGCCCTTTTATTTCTTCTCTGATTGCTGTGGCTAGGACTTCCAAAACTGTGTTGAATGAAAGTGCTGAGAGTAGGTGGACATCCTTATCTTGTTTCTGATCGTAAAGGAAATGCTTTCAGCTTTTCACCATTGAGAATGATGCTAGCTGTGGGTTTGTCACATACGGCCTTTATTATGTTGAGGTATGTTCTGTCTGTGCCCACTTTCTGGAGAGTCTTTCTTTTTTTTTAATCATGAATAGATGTTGAAGTTTATCAAAAGCTTTTTTTACATCTATTGAGATGATCATATGGTTTTTATTCTTCAGTTTGTTAATGTGGTGTATCGCACTGATTGATCTGTGGATACGGAAAAATCCCTGCGTCCCTGGGATGAATCCCCCTTGGTCATGGTGCATGATCCTTGTAATGCATTGTTGGAGTCGATTTGCTAGTATTTTGTTGAGGATTTTGCATCTATATTCGTAAGTGACATTGACCTGTTATGTTCTTTTTTTGTGATATCTTTGTCTGGCTTTGTTATCAGTGTGATGATGGCCTCACAGAATGAGTTCTGAAGTGTTCCTTCCTCTGCAATTTTTTTGGAATAGTTTCAGATAGGACAGGTGTTAACTCTTCTTTAAATGTTTGGTAGAATTCACCTGTGAAGCCATCTGGTCCTGGACTTTTATTTGTTGGGAGTTTTTAAATTACTGATTAAATTTCAGTACTGGTAATTGGTCTATTCATATTGTTTATTTCTTCCTGGTTCAGTTTTGGCAAATTGTACCTTTCTAAGAAATTGTCCATTTCTTCTATGGTGTCCTTATTTTTTTTGATGTATAGTTATTCATAGTAGCCTCTTTGATCCCTTGCATTTCTGTGGTGTCTGTTGTAACTTCCATTTCACTTCTGATTTTGTTAATTTGGGCCCTCTCCCTTTTTTCTTGATGAGTCTGACTAAAGGTTTATCAATTCTGTTTATCTTTTCAAAGATCCAGCTTTTAGTTTCATTGATCTTTTCTAATTTTTTTTTTTTTTTTAGTCTCTAGTTCATTTACTTTACTCCAGTCTTTATGGTTTCTTTTCTTCTAGTGACTTTAGCGTTGGTTTGTTCTTCTTTCTCCAGCAGCTTTAGCTGTAAGGTTAGGTTACTGACCTGAGATTTTTCTTGTTTCCTGAGGTAGGCTTGTGTCGCTATAAACTTCCCTCTGAGAACTGCTTTTGCTGCATCCCAGAGGTTTTGGGTGGTTGTGTTTTCATTTTCATTTGTCTCAAGGTATTTTTGACTTCCTCTTCGATTTCTTCCATGATCCACTGGTTGTTTAGTAGCACATTGTTTAGTCTCCACGTGTTTGCAGTTTTTGCAGTTTTTTCTTGTAGTTGATTTCCAACTTTATAGCAAAAAAAGATGCTTGGTGTGACTTCAGTTTTCTTAAATTTACTGAGGCTGGCTTTGTGGGCCAGCATGTGATCAATTCTGGAGAATGTTCCATGTGCACCTGAGAAGAATGTGTGTTCTGCTGATTTCGGAGGGAATGCTCTATAGATAACAGTTAGGTCCATCTGGTCTAATGTGTCAGTTAGGGCCTGTGTTTCCTTACTGATTTTCTACCTGGATGATCTGTCCACTGATGTTAAGTGGGGTGTTAAGCTCCCCCACTATTGTGTTATTGTTGATTTTTCCTTTTATGTCTGTTAACAGTTGTCTTACATGTTGAGGTGCTCCCATGTTGGGTGCACACATATTTACAGTTGGTATGTCCTCTTCTTGGGTAGATCCCTTGAGCATTATGTATGTCTTTCTTTGTCTCTTGTAACAGTCTTTAGTTTAATATCTGTTTTTTCTGACAAAAGTATTGCTACTTCAGCCTTTAGTTCCCATTTGCATGGAATATCTTCTTCCATCCCCTCACTTTCATCCTGCAGGTGTCTCTAGCTCTGAGGTGAGTCTCTTACAGACAGTGTATATATGGGTCTTGTTTTTGTATCCATTCAGCCAGTCTGTGTCTTTTGGTTGAAGTGTTTAATCTATTTACATTTAAGGTAATTATCAATATATATGTTCTTACTGCCATTTTGTTAATTATTTTGGGTTTGTTTTTGTAGGTCTTTTCTCTTTCTTCTTTTTGTTCTCTTTTCTTATGGTTTGATGACTAGAAAAGTTCCTTTAACACTTGTTGTAAAGCTGGTTTGGTGGTGCTGAATTCTTGTAGCTTTTGTTTATCTGTGAAGCTTTTGATTTCTCCAAGTCTGAACGAGAGCCTTGCTGGATGGAGTATTCTTGGTTGTAAGTTTTCCCCTTCCATCACTTTAAATATATTGTGCCGCTCTCTTCTGGCCTGCAGAGTTTCTGCTGAGAAATCAGCTGATAAGCTTACGGGAGTGCCCTTGTATGTTACTTGTTGCTTTTCTCTTGCTGACTTTAACATTTTGCCTTTATCCTTGGTTTTTGTCAGTCTGCTGACTCTGTGCCTTGGTGCTCTCCTCTCTGGGTTGGTCCTGGGTGGTATTCTTGCGCTTCCTGGACGTGGGTGACTGTTTCCTTTCCCAGGTTGGGGAAGTTTTCAGTTATTATCTCTTCAAAAATTTTATCAGGTCTTGTCTCTCTCCTCTTTCTGGGGCCCCTGTAATGCGAATATCAGTGTGCTTCATGTTGTCCCAAAGTTCTCTCAAGTTATCGTCATTTCTTTTCATTCTTTTTTCTTCTTTCTGTTCTGCAGTAGTGATTTCCACTAATCTGTCTTCTAGCTCACGGATCCATTCTTCTGCCTCACTTATCTATTCTTGGTTCCTTCTAGTGTGTTATTCATTTCAGTGATTTTATTCTTCAGCTCTATTTGAGTATTCTTTATATTGTCTAACTCTTTGCTAAAAACTTTACTCTGTGCACCTAGACTCCTCTTGAGTTCTCTGAACATCATCGCCATCATTACTTTAAACTCTTTCTCAGATAAATTGCCTATCTCTTCATCATTTATTTCTTCTTCTGGGATTTTTATCTTGTACCTTGGCCTGGGAGATATTCCTCTGCTGCCTTATATTGTCTATCTTTCTATTTGTATTTTAGGTAGGTTAGTTAAGTTTCTCGACCTTGGAGAGATGGTCCTTTATGGGAGACGTTCTGTGCATCCCAGCAGTACACTCCTCTCCTGTCCGCCAAGGCCCAGGGTCCAGCTGGTCCCATTGCAGAGTCTGGCCTGTGTTTGTGGATTCCTTCCACAGGCTTTGGGATTGTTGTTTTCTTATTTCTAGTATCTGCCCCTGGTGGGTGAGGCTGGACTAGAGGCTTATGCAGGTTTCCTGGCAGGAGGAGCCAGTGCCTGCCCACTGCTGGGTGAAGCTTGGTCCTGGACCTCTGATGGGTAGGGCCATGTCTAGAGGCTCAGGAGGTCTGCTGATGGCTGGGGCTGTGCTCCCATCCTGTATGTTCTTCGGCCTGAGGCTTCCCCTACAGGCTGTTGGGTGGGCCGGGTCTTGGTGCTAATGATCCAATCAAGATGTCAGCCTCCAGGAAAGCTCCTGTACATGAACACTCCCGGAATGTTTGCCACCAGCTTTTATGTCCCCTGGGTGAGCCGCAGCCGTCCCCCACGTCCCCAGGAGACCCTCCAAATCCAGCAGGCAGGCCTGGCCCAGGTTCCTGTGAAATCATTGCCTCTGTCTTTGGACCTGGCACACTCGAGATTCTGTGTATGCTTCCCAAGCGAATGACGTCTCTGTTCCCCCAGTATCTTAGGGCTCCTGGAGTGAAGCCCCACCGGCCTTCAGAACCAGATGTCCTGGGGTTTCCTCCTCCTCCCAATGCCAGACCCTCGGGCTAGGGAGCCTGCCGTGGGGCTCAGAGCTCTCACTCCTGTGGGAGGGCCTCTGCGACTTAACTGTTCTTCAACTTGCGGTTCACCCACCAGGGGTGTGGGGCCTGATTATATCACAAGCACGCCCCTCCTACCATCCCGCTGTGCTTCCGTCTTTATGTTTCCAGTTGAAGGAGGTCTTGTTTTGCTAGGTGCCAGTCTTTCTTCCAGTGGCTGTTCAGCAGTCACGCGAGCTCGTAGTCCCGTCTGTAGGTTTCATAGTGGCTTGACTTCTGTCTTTCCTTACGTTGATTATTCACGTCTTTTATTTTGATCGTACGTTAAGTTAGAGGTCTATCAATATTACTGTTTTCAGAGACTAAGCTCCCGGTTTACTGATGTTCTTGCTCGTCCACGTTCTATTTCGTGAATTTCGGCTCTATTAGGTCTTTTCTTCTGTTCACTTTGTTCTTTTTCTTCTTAAGGAAGAAGTTTCTATCCCTGGTGTGAGACCTTATTTTCTGATATAAGCATTGTAAGTTATAAAATTTTTTTTGAACATTGTTCTGGCTGCATTCCATGATCTTGATATGTTGTTTTTCAGTTTCTTGTGGTTTAAAATATTTTCTAACTTCGTGGTTTTTTTCTCTTTGATCCATGGGAAATTTAGAAGTACACTGTTTTAATTCCCAAGCATTTGAGATCCTGCTGGGGCAGTGGGCAGTGCAGGAGGGCGGTGCTCAGGGATCCTGACTCTGGCTCTGCTGGAGGCCTGGCTCCTCACTGACCACACCCGCCTCTCGCCAGAGCTGCCTCTTGTCCTGACCCTTCGCCGCTTTTGTGCACTCCCTCCTGCTCCCTGGGCCTGCACCTGAAGAACGGATTGAGTCCTGTGGGGACAGATACTTAGACAGCACAGGAGCCAAAATAATAGTATTTAACTTTTTGGTAGTTTCATTAAAAAGGTAAAAAGCAGAAGAATTTAATTATAGTAACATCTTTTACTTAATCAGTATGCACAGAATGCTATCATTTCAACATGTGACTGCCGTAAAATACCTTTATACCTGCGTCTTCTCTCACCTGAGTCTCCGCACCCACCGCCACCTTCAGGGACCAGCCTCATGCGCCCATGTCTGGGGACGGGCTTTGTGTTCTCTGGTCACTCCTGCAACCGCGTGAGACAGCTGGGACGTCAACTTGCCAGAAAATGCTCCTGGATTTTTTAGCAAGTAAGCATTGAAAGCAGGAAGCTCAGTTCTGCTTTGTAATGGTTTCCAAATAAAAGTGTGAAGTCGAGTTTTTCCTGACAGTCGGAAAGTCACACCTGTTGGGACTGACGTTTTGTGTTGGCTGGAAGCACTGGTGTTCAGAGGACCTTGGGCCCTTCTGTCACACTTGTGGGCACAAGCCTGGCTTCCAGGGCCCTGCAGATACCCCCAGAGACGCTGGTGTGAGCCATGGGTCATGGTGACCACAGAGCTGCACTGACCCTTCAGACCGTCCCTGCTGGCAGCTCCCTGGTGCAGCAGATTTTGGGAAAGACTTTCTGTGTCCTTGCAGTCAGGCCCAGCCATAGGCACCCCCTGCTCTGCTCTGCGTCGCGAGGGACTAATTCCCACCTTGACGATTTCCCGCAGGTGAACTTAGTGGCTCCGTCTCAGGCGTCACTGTGTGGGGTGTGTGTCAGCTGCCTGGCTCCTTCCTGGGGCGTCCGCCCCCTGCGAGCCTGTGCCACGGCATCTGGGCATGGCCTGTGGAGCAACGTTTGGTTATGTGCGGGCAGGTTTTGTGTGGGTGTAGTGCCTGTGTTTTGAGGCCCTAGGGTGTGGGGGCTCCATCTCCCCATTCCTCCTGCAGTGTGTGAGATTTTCACTTGAGGTTGTCAGTCGTTAATTTCAGCATCCTTGAGGGTGCAGTGTTTCATTGCAGTTAAAATCTCATTTCCCTGTCCCTGGCGTCCACCAACTGGATACCAGGAGTGCCCCCTCCCCTCGCCCCACCCACCCTGCCCCAGGTGTGACCACCAAGACGCCTGCGAACATCACCAAATGTTCCAGCGTTGGGGGGGCACTGGAAATGTTGCCCTGATGTCCCAGTGCGGAGGGGGTGGCCACTGGAAATGTTGCCCTGATGTCCCAGTGCGGAGGGGGTGGCCACTGGAAATGTTGCCCTGATGTCCCAGTGCGGAGGGGGTGGCCACTGGAAATGTTGCCCTAAATGGAAAATGGTCTTTGCAGATGTGAGTGATTAAGGTTTTTGAGACAGGAGATTGTTCCAGGCTGTCTGGATGGGCCCTGGATGCCACGTAAGTGTCCTTGTAAGAGGGAGGCGGGGGGGCGTGACCCAGACACAAGCTGTGAAGTCAGGAGAAGCCCTGCTGACCCCTGACTTCACTCCGCAAGACCTATTTAGACCTTCTGGCCTCCGAAACTGTGAGAAACCAAACTACTGTTGCTTTAAGCCACTAAGTTTGTGGTGATTTGTTACAGGAAACTAATACAATTGCTACATGAAGTTCAGCAGGCCTGAGTGAACGTGGACACGTGCCTCATTCACGGGTTGGGGGGCTGTGTCGTCAGGGGGTCAGTCCTCCCAGACTGGTCTGTGTGTTCCTCACGGCCCCAGTCAGTCTCACAGCAGGACTTTTTTGTAGAAATTGACAAATTCATTCTAAAATTTGTTGGAAATGCAAAGGATTTAGAGTAGCCAAAAGATATCTGATGAAGACCCACGCTACCTGCCTTCAGGGCTAGTCGAGAGAGCGCTATTGGCACACAGACAGACGGACGGATCAGAGAAAGACCAGAGTCAGGGCTGACCCGTGTGCACAGACGCTGATTCTTACAAAAGTGCAGATGCAGCTCTGCGGAGAAAGAGGATCGTCTTTCAACAGGTGGAATATTTGGATATCCCTCTGTAATAAAGTTGAACTGGAAAACCTCTCACCACATATGAAAATTAACTCTAAATGGATCCTAGAACTAAATGGAAAACTTTAAACTTTAAAACTTCTAGAAGAAATCATAGAAAAAGTCTTTGCAACCTTGGGTCAGGCAAAAAGTTCTTGGATAAGACACCAAAATCGCAATCCACAAGAGAAAAAAAACAGATAAACTGGACTTCATCAACATTATAAACTTCCCTGAAAGACATTGTTAAAAGAATGTAGAGACAGGGCAGGAAAATGGGAGAAAATATCTGCAGCTCATTCCGATAAAGGACTTGAGCCCAGAACATGGGAGCTCCTTCTGAGACCCCGTAACAGGAAAACCAACATCCCAACAAAACTGGGCCGTTGATTTGAACGGCTGCTCCATCAAGTAGGGTGTGGACGGCGGGTTAGCGCAGCATCTTGGTCGTTAGAATTACGTCAGGGCCACAGGGAGGACACCACACATCTGCCAGCACGTTTGGACCAGGACCGGCTGCCCCTGGTGCTTGTGAGGGTGTGGAGCACCTGGGACTCGCTGCCTGGGGAGCCTCACATGGCATGGCCCCCTGGGAAGACAGTTGAGCGGGTTTTTAGAAAGCTCACACTCCTGGGTGTTCACCCAAGAGAAACCAAAGCCTCTCTGCCCAGGGACTTACGAACACCTGTGGCACGAGCGGAGCAGCCCGCGTCCCTCAGCAGAAGAGTGGGGACCAGCGTGGTCCTGGGCCAGGGCACCCGTGGGAGGCTGAACCCAGGTCCCAGCGTGGGGCCTCAGCCCTGGGCTCCTCCCAGGGGCCCTGCTCGAGGCACCCCCACTGCACTGGTGACTGCAGACACTCCTGTTTGGGGTGCAGTGGGTGGCGGTTCCCAGAGGGCCAGTGTCCCCTGCTCTATGCTCATGATCACCACCTGGGCCCCGGCTAGATCAGAAGTGAGCCAGACTAGGTACTGGGGTCCTCGACTCCTGCAAATCCCCCTCCTGAGTGGTGGGCCTGCCCTCGGGCCACCTGCCCAGGGCAGCGAGAGTGGGGCATGTGCCCAGGAATGTGTGTACATGCATGTGCACAGGGCCTATCCACGTGGAAGGCTGTGCGCCCCGTGCTGGCACGTGAGGCGCAGGGGGTGGGGCTCCCTGGGGACCCCTTCCCTCCTGGGCTGCCTCCTCCCTCCCTGACCCTGACCCGGTCCTCCATCTTCTCCCCATATCCTTCCTGCTCCCAGAACTTCTGGGTCCAGTTGTTGCTGGCAGAACCTCCAAGGCAGGTTGGGCACTGTGGCTGCGGGTGGGTGGATCCCATGGAGGCCAGGTGCCTCCTCTCTGCATAAGCCATGGCAGGCAGTGGAGGCAGAATGGTGAGCATCCAGGGAGCTGGCCCTTGAGACCCACAGTCCTGCCTGATGCCGGTGCCTGGTTGTGTTTGACGTCGGGGCCGGGAGGTCTGCCCTGGCCACTTTGGCCCATGACGTGCCTGCCGGAAGCCACCCAGAGGGGCCACTTGTGGAGGAAGGATTGGTGTTCTTACGGGGCAGTTTTGGTCAAAATTTCTTGTAATGAGTTACTGGGAATTTCAGAGTCAGGATAACCTACAGCACCTCCCCCAGGCCAGCCGGTCGACGGCAGATCTGGACAGGACCTCGGCCCCTGCTCGACCGCGAGACCCACTGGCAGCTTCAGGGGAACGGACAGGGCACCTGTGTGCAGAGGGTGTTGCGGGGTCAGTGCCACTGGGCACCTGACACACTGCACTTAACACACCAGGGGAAACGTGGTGCTTGTTCACGTGCATGTAATTCAGTGCAAAGGTGACTAGAACTGATACTGGGCAAATTTCTAAACACGCAGTCAAGACTCTCACAAGTTCTGTCTTGCTGGAAACCACATTTAAAACTCGGACCCCACTAGTCAGCCACTGCTCCGCTTCCCAGTCCTGCGGGACCGGGGAGAGCCCGCCGCGGCCAGAGTAGTGCCCGCCACAGCAGTCCCAGCCTCCTCCTCAGCCCTCTGGCTGGTTCTTCCCTGCACTGCCAAAGAGAAGACTCCACACTGTGGTTGACCTGTCACCCATGGTCAGTGAGGCTCCAGAGTGGGGGAGAATTCGGGGAGTGGCTGTGTTCCCCACAGAGTTGGCAGGCCCCAGTGCACGAGACCCTGCAAAGCTGGTCTCTCCATGGTGGCAGCCCTCTCCTCTGGTCCACCTTCACTTGGACAGTGTGATGGCTGGAGAGGCGCCGGCCACTCCGTGTGGGTGTGTCTGTGTCCGTGTGTGGGTGTGTGCATGTACGTCTGTATACATCTGTATGGTGAGGAATGTGTATGCATCTGTTTTTTTTTAAACAAATGCCCTTGAAATGAAAAACCATTTAAATGTTTGATTTTTAAAACATTAATGAGAAAATGAACTCTCTTCCTTTGTGCAGTACAGGTCTGTGAGCTTCAGCACGTGTGTATAGGTTGGCCACCACAGCGCAGCTAGCTTTGTGCAAAATGGTGATAAGTGTCAGTACCCAACCTGCCCTCGTACCCCGTTAGGTGCCTGTGCCCCGTGTGACGGGTTTGTGGTCAAGAACTGCCAGCAGCTCCGGGGACAGACGTGGGGGTGGAGGCCACACATCGTGGCTCTGGCGTGGAAGCCAGCTTGGGAGGCCGAGGGAGCCGCTGGGGGATCCATTCTCGAGGGAAAAGCGCGGGAGGGGCACTTGCTCAGGCTGAGGGCTCCTGGTGGTGTGGGGTGGCCTGTGCTGGGAGGCAGTTTACTGCTGGACGTTCAAAAGCCGCGTCTAAACACGGAACCAAGAAACGTGTCCCAGATGCAGAGGGAACGGGGCCCACCCAGCCTTGTCCGAACTCAGCTCCCGGCTCCCGTGATGGGCTCCCAGCCACGTGCTGTCCAGGGTCTGGGTCCAGGCCCGTCAGGGGTACGAGCGCAGACGTTATCATGTAGAAATAAAGTACGAGTGTGGAGCCCCCAGGCCCAGCTGCCCACCCACCAGGCTGGACACAGCAGACAAAACCCCAGATAGTGGACGCACTGCCTTTTTACCATCGCTTCTCATTTCAGAC